TTCCTCTGGGCCTCCTTCCGGTGGGACGTGTCCGGAACACCTCACCAGGGAGGCATCCAGAAGGCATCCTGAACAGATGCCCAAGCCACCTCAACTGGCTCCTCTCGACGTGGAGAAACAGCGGCTGTACTCTGAGTCCCTCCCGCATGATCGAGCTTCTCACCCTATCTCTAAGGGAGAGCCCAGACACCCTGCGGAGAAAACTCATTTCGGCCGCCTGTATCCAAGATCTTGTTCTTTCGGTCATAACCCAAAGCTCATGACCATAGATGAGGGTAGGAACGTAGATCGATCGGTAAATTGAGAGCTTCGCCTTTTGACTCAGCTCTCTCTTCACCACGACAGACCTGTACAGTGCCCGCTTCACTGCAGACGCTGCACCTATCCACCTATCGATCTCACATTCCATTTTTCCCTCATTCGTGAACAAGACCCCAAGATACTTAAATTCCTCCACTTGGGGCAGGACCTCCTCCCTGACCCGGAGAGGGCACTCTACCCTTTTCCGGCTCAAGACCATGGCCTCGGATTTGGAGGAACTGATCTTCATCTCGGCCGCGTCATACTCGGCTGCGAACCGCTCCAGCGAAAGCTGTAGATCATGATCTGATGAAGCCAACAGGACCACATCATCTGCAAAAAGCAGAGACGCAATCCTAAGGCCACCAAAACGGATCCCCTCAACACCTTGGCTGCGCCTAGAAATTCTGTCCATAAAAGTTATGAACAGAATCTGTGACAAAGGGCAACCTTGGCGGAGTCCAACTCTCACCAGGAACAAGCCCGACTTACTGCCGGCGATGCGGACCTGGCTCTGACACCGGTCATACAGGGACCTAACAGCCTGTATCAAAGGGCCCGGTACCCCATACTCCCAGAGGACCCCCCACATGGTTCCCCGAGGAACGCGGTCGAACGCCTTCTCCAAGTCCACAAACACATGTAGACCAGTTGGGCAAACTCCCACGCACACTCCAGGACCCTGCTGAGAGTGTAGAACTGGTCCAGTGTTCCATGGCCAGGACGAAAACCGCACTGCTCCTCCTGAATCTGAGGTTCGACTATCCGACGGACCCTCCTCTCCAGAACCCCCGAATAGACCTTACCAGGGAGGCTTAAGAGTGTGATTCCCCTGTAGTTGGAACACACTCTACGGTCCCCCTTTTTGAATAGGGGGACCACCACCCCGGTCTGCCAATCCAGGGGAACTTCCCCCGATGTCCACGCAATATTGCAGAGTCACGTAAGCCAACACAATCCTACAACATCCAGAGCCTTAAGGAACTCTGGGCGAATCTCATCCACCCCTGGGGCCCTGCCACCAAGGAACTTTTTAACCACCTCGGTGACCTCAGCACCAGAGATTGGAAAGCTCGACCCAGAGTCCCCAGGCTCCGCTTCCTCAGTGGAAGACGTGCCGGTGGGATTGAGGAGGTCTTCAAAGTATTCCGCCCACCGACCCACAACATCCCGAGTTGAGGTCAGCAGCACACCACTCCCACTATAAACAGTGTTGGTGGTGTACTGCTTTCCCCCCCTGAGACGCCGGATGGTGGACCAGAATCGCCTCGAAGCCGTGCGGAAGTCATTCTCCATGGCCTCTCCGAACTCCTCCCATGCCCGAGTTTTTGCCTCAGCGATAGCCAATAGGGTTTTAAATAGTATTTTCCTTATACTGTCCCCAAAAAATTTGTAAAAATTGACAGTGAGACCGTCAGATCCTGGGGATTTATTTGAGGTCATTTTCATAATAACAGAATCCAGCTCCGCCATTTTAAATTCAGCATCACAATTTTCTTTGAAGGAAGTTTCAATCTTTGGTATCAAAGTAGAAATGTTATCAAAAAAACATTTGCAGTCTTCTTCAGAGTACTTAGCTGAGTATAGTTCAGAATAAAACTTAAAAACTTCTTTCTCTAATATTTTAGGATCTTTATATTAATTTCCATTTATTAAAAGACTTGAGATACAGTTACTCTGCTGTCTGTTCTGTTCTAAGTTAAAGAAACAAGGAGTTCTTTTCCCCTGCCTCGATCCGCTTTGCACGAGATCTCACAAAAGCACCTTGTGCTAGGTTCAAATAAAGTTGATCTAATTTAGTTTGTAATTCCATAAGATAATTTTTTTTCTTTATTATTTAGATCATGTTTGATACAGCATTGGTGTATTTCTTTCAAAAGATTACTTTCATATCTTTTTTGCTCATATTTGAGGTTTTTGCTAAATTTGATGCTAAATTCTTATTTTAAACTTGAGAAATTCCCATTTATTTATTTATTTATTTATTTATATATATATATATATATATATATATATATATATATATATAT